CCCCAAAACCCCAAAACCCCAAAACCCCTTTAAGTTACATAAATATTGGGAGTATAAATAATGGATCCTGACTTAGAAGAATATCAATGCTATGTCATTTGCGAAGCTTCTCCATTTTGCAAAAACGCAAACCCAGATTGATACTGGCAAAACCATTACGACAACCTTGCCAAACAAGCTGATGATTTTTGATACGATTCATCACCAAGCGATTCAGAAAATCCCAACTACTACAATCTAAGCCCCTACAACATCCACAATTCCTCAGATTCCTCCTCTCTCAACCACATCCCCTCTGGCACCCCCACCAAGCCTAAAGGTAAGCTCTTACTCTCCCCCTCCAACCCCCAAATTCCCAATCTCTTCAGATCCCCTGCTTCAGTCTGAGCCCCATCTCCTGTCTCCAAGCCTGAGCAGCTCCTTAGCTGCTCAGGCAGGCTTAAGAAGTCTTGCTGAGCGGGCAGGGATGACTGGAAGTCAAAAGGATTTGGAATTTTGGGTAAAATAGAATCCAGGATAGGAGATTCGGGAAAATTAAGGTTGGAGTTGAAGGTTTATGAGTGCTAAGTGGATTATAGGGTTATAGTAGAGTCTCTTGAGAATGAGTTGTTGGGACTTGAGCAGAGATTGGAGAAGGAGGAGAAAGTAAGTGTCAAGGGGTTATTTTGTAAATTTTGGAGGTGAATAAGAGGGAAGAAGGGGTTATTGAGAGGTTAGAACAAGAGTTAAGTGAGGTGGAGCAAGAGAAGTAAGGAGTTTAGTCATTTTTGGGAAGGAATTGGATTTTAGTCAACTTGAATTAGACCAGAAAGAAGCTAATCTGGCCAAAAAGCAGGCTGATAAGGTTGAGAGAAAATATAACACTGCTCAAAGAAGAGCTCAAGGCTATCAAAAATAAATAAATAGAAAGAGGATTACTGACTATAAACAGCAGCGAATCATAAGAAAATTACACAGAAAAATACACAGAATTACAAAACACCTTAAGAAGCATACTCCCCTCAACCCCACTCAAAACCCTACCGTACCTCATCTCTTACACCTCCTCGGCATCAAACCCTGCAAACCCTCTCCTCTCTAAAATTCCAAAATCCCAAAATTTCAAATTTTCAACTACACCCCCTCCGCTCGGGGTTTTGGGGTTTTGGGGTTTTGGGG